CAAAACAAAATGGAAACAGACTTATAGATACAGAAAATCATCTGGTGGTTGCCAGAGGGGAGAAAGATGAAGGGATGGGTAAAATAGAGGAAAGGGATTAAAAGGTACAAACTTCCAGTTATAAAATAAATAAGATATGGGGATGCAATGTACAGCACAGGAAATACAGTTAATAGTATGTAACAACTTTGTATGGTGACAGATGGTAGCCAGATTTACCGTGATCGCTTTACAATGTATACAAATATTGAATCACTATGTTGTATACCTGAACCTAATATAATATGTATGTCAACTATATTCCAATTAAAAAACATGTTTTAATGTATTACTTTGGGCTACCAGCTCAAAATGGCAGGCTGCACCTACTTGTCCACCTTGTCAAAATCCTAATTTTATAAAATGGGGTGCCTGGGTGGCTCAGTCAGTTAAGTGTCTGACCTTGGCTCAGGTCACGATCTCACAGTTCATGAGTTCGAGCCCCGCATCAGGCTCTGTACTGTCAGTACAAAGCCTGCTTCGGATCCTCTGCCCTCCTCTCTCTCTCTGCCCCTCCCCCACTCGCACTCTCTGTTTCTCTCTCTCAGAAATATATAAACATTAAAACAATTTTCATAAAGTATATATACCAAAGAATAAATCCATAACTGTGCTATAACATAGGGAATGCTAGCAGTGGACCAAAAACATTAGGGAATTTTGCATGATAATAAAGAAAATGGGATTTAGTGGTATAGAAACCAAACAGCTGAAAAATCTATAGTGCAACAGTAGAAAAACAGAAGATTGCTGAAGTGTTCAGTCTTGACAAAATTCTGTAATGATTCTAAATTTAAAGTCACTTATACTCACAGAAGAATGAGGCTAAAGAAAGGTCAGTTGAGTATCAATTGAGAGATTGCCAAAGATGGACCAATTCAGGCTTATTTTTCACTCAGACCCCAGATCAAGGTAGTTAGCATTCTTTATTGTCTTTCTTTGCCCCTCCTTCACCGAAATTGTAGTTCTTCAAATACCCCAACTTTATTGAAAAGTCTCAGGTCCAACTCCTTACGTTGGTGCAGGTCTAAGGATTGTTAAATCTGAGTTTTCCTAAGTCTCAGTAACTCTAACCTACCTCAATGCTTTTCTGTTCTATATTCTTTTTTTTGACTTAGGAATTTCTCTTTACTTTCTTGTACACTCAGGTAGGCATTTCAAAGGATGTCTGTTACATCTTAATTGGCATTTCTGTGTTTTATAGTGGTGGGTTTTCCAGGATAAATGGTTCACAGTATTGCCAGAAATGGAACTTAAGAGTATATCTTTAAGCATTTTTTCTAAAAGAAAGGCTGAATAGGGAGTATATTCCATTGGAATAATTTCACTTCCAGGAATAATGGCCCTATTTTGTCCTGACATTTGAATAAAAGTTTGTGTAGACTTCAAATTTTAGGTTCCAAACATTTTCCGCTCAGTACTTTATGGACATTTTCTATTATTTGCATTTAGTGTTGCAGAAGAGAAATCCAATGCCAGTTTGATTCTCATTTCTTTTAGGAAATCTAAATGATCATATAACTATTTAAGAAGTAAATCAGTACTTCCAGATAATACAAAATCAGAAAATAAAGCATCAATTCTAGAAGGTATACTGGTGAGTTTGACCAAATTACTCAAGGAACAGATAATTCTATTATTTTTTCACAGTCTCAGAGAAGAGATAAAGAAGGCACACTCCCCAATTAATTTTATGCAGTTAGTATTACTTAAATAAGAAAACCAGACAAGGATAGCTTAAGGGAAAAAAAAAAGAAAAAGAAAAGCAATCTCAGTCATGAACATAGAGGTTGAATCCTAAATAAAATATTACCAAACCAAATCTAGCAGTACATAATTAATATATCATGATCAAGATGGATTAGTTGCAGGAAAAGAAGGTTGGTTTAACATTAAATAACCTAGAAAAATCCTTGCACGTGTGTACTAGGAAACATGTGAAAGAATGTTCATAGTAGCATTGGTTGTATGGCAAAACACCAAAACAGTCCAACTGGCTATCAATAGTAAAATGGGTAAATAAATTTTCATCAATAGAATATTATACAGAAGTTAAAACAAATGATCTTTAGTTCTGTGTATCAACACAGATGAATCTCAAAAATTATGCTGACCAAAGAAAGCAAGTCATAAATACATAAAATATAATTTTGTTCATATAAACATCAAGATAGGCCACAAAGGAAATGATTAACACAAAATTCAGGATAGTAATCATCTCAGGAATATCGGGAGGGGCATACAGGTGGTAGAGTGTATGTATATAGATGATTTCTGGGGTAGCTGGCAAGGTTCTCCTTTCATGGCTCTTCATCTATTCAATCAATATGCTATACATTTATTTCATGCTGCTTTCTGTATGTTATGCTTAAAAACTTTTTAAGTTTTAAAAAATTAAGAAATTTTGCTCATTAAAAGATATCATTAAGAAAGTGAAAAGGTGGGGTGCTTGGGTGGCTCAGTAGATTAAACATCCAACTCTTGGTTTTGGCTCAGGTCATGATCTCATGGTTTGTGGGATCAAGCCACACGTTGGGCTTTGCACTGCACTGACAGTGTGGAGCCTGCATGGGATTCTCTGTCTCCCTCTCTCTCTCTCTGCCCCTCCCTAACTTGTACTCTCTCTCTCAAAATAAATAAACAATAAAAAATATCCTTTAAGAAGAAAGAAAGAAAGTGAATAGGCAAGCCACAGAGTGGAAACAGATATGTGTGATATATGTATCTAATGAGGAACTCATATTTATAATATGTGAAGAACTCTTATGAATAAATAAAAAAGACACTAAATACACACTTCACCAAAAGGGGAGATGAAAATGGACAATTAACATTTGAAAATGGGCCCAATATCCATAGTCATAAGGCAAATATAGATTAAAGCCACAGTGTAATACAGGTACATACCCACCAGAATGGCTAAAGTGAATATGCTAAGTCTTCACAGCACTGGTGGCCGTGTAAATCGATACTGCCACTTAGAAAACAGTGTGGCAGTATCTACTAAGGTGAATGTATGCCAATCCTATGACCCACTCCCACTCTTAGGTATATAACAAGAAAAAATATATGTATATCTATCTATCTATCTATATATGTATATTTACATATGAGCAGGAATGTTCTCAGCAACACTGTTTATAATAGCCTCAAACTGGTAACTACCCAAAGGTCTATCATTAGTAGAATGGAGGAATAAATTATGGTATATTCATACAATGTAGTACTATACAGCCATGAGGATGGATGGACTACAATTACATAGAACAATACGTATAGACCTCACAAATGTAAGGTTGACAAAAGAAGTCAACAACAAAAGAGTACATAGTACATGGTTGTATTTGTATAAAATTCAAAAACAGGAAAAACTAATGAATAGTGTTGGAAGTCAAGACAGGGGTCAACCTTGATGAGGGATAGTACTTGAAGCAGGCCTCTGGGGGACTTCTGAAATGGTGGTAGTTTTCTGTTTCCTGATCAGGGCCATGATTACACAGATATGCATTTTGTGAAAAGTCACTGAGTTTTATGCATGATTCTGCATTTTTCTGTATATATGTTATTTCTATAATGTGTTCTTTAAAAAGGAGGGGAAAGGCCCGGATGATATTATGGTTGATGATATTATGTCACTGAGGAATCTGATTGACCTTCCAATTCTTTGTGCATGACTTGTAAAAAACAAAACAAAACAAAACAAAAAGGAAGTAACTAGTAGAATGGAAATTGAAAGTAAAACTTTTTAATTTTTTTTTTTTTTTTTTT